TTTTTTTATAAGGATCGATATTCATATCCTCAATTATACATTAGGGAACCAAGGCTCATCAAGTAATGTGGTCAATGCAAAAATTAAATTAGTAAGTGAAGAAACTGGGTTTCACACCCATATCTAACTACAAAATCCATGTGACTGACACTACCATCCTTCCTTCCCGACACTAGTTCAGATACCAAAGGATAAAAGTAGAGTTTTAATTTATTATAGGATTGCAAAATTGTGTATGTTCATTATAAAATTTGTAAAAACAGAAAGCCATAAGCAAAAAGATCCACTATCCCACCCACCTAGCAATACCCATTGTTAATATTTTGAAGTATGTTCTATTTTTTATGAATAGATATAATTATGTTTTTAATTAAATCATGATATAATGCTGTTTTATAATCTGCTTTTTTCCCAATCTGCTTTATTTTTCCACAATGTCATTTTTAAACAATTACACACTGTTCCACAAAATAGACTATAATTAATTTAAGCATTCTCCCATTATTGATATTTAGGTTGATATGATTTTTTACCATTATAATGAAAATAGTGACAAACATTCTTGTCAATAATTTTATGCTCATGTTTAGTTTTTAAGAATAAATTTGTAAAAGCAATATTGCTGAATCAAAGTGTATGCATTTCTTCAAGTTTTCACTATGTTACCGAATTGTATTTCACAAATTTTTATAGCAGTTTATACTTTCACCAGCATATTTGGGAATACATCTCTCCTTGCAACTTTAACACAAGGAATTATCATTTTTCCATTGCTATTATTTAATAAACAGAAAACAGTATTCCATTTTGTTTAATTTTATATTTATTTGAATACTACCAAAACTTAATTTGTATATTTGTTTGCTTTTGCATGTTTCTTTTTTGAATTTCCATTATTTGTTTTTCGGATAGGTTTTTTTATCTATCTGATAAAATGAATTGTCACTTGCTATTCAATTTGCTTATTATGTTTTTGCCTACAAAACTTTAACATTTTTATTCTGTTGAAATATCAACATCTTTTTTGGACTCTGCCCTTTCCTCATTTGGTTATAAATGTTTATATACCCTGAAATCTGAAAAAAGTTCATCTGCACTCTCTTCTAGTTTTCTTTTACTTTTTAAAATATTTGAAACCCAAGCCCATTAGAAATAAATTTTGAAACTTTTTTTTTTTTTTTTTGAGACAAAGTCTTGCTCTGTTGCCAGGCTAGAGTGCAGTGGCTAGATCTCGGCTCACTGCAACCTCCGCCTCCCAGGTTCAAGTGATTCTCCTGCCTCAGTCTCCCAAGTAGCTGGGATTACAGGTGTGTGCCACCACACCCAGCTAATTTTTGTATTTTTAGTAAAGACAGGGTTTCACAACGTTGGCCAGGATGGTCTTGATCCCTTGACCTTGTGATCTACCCGCCTCAGCCTCCCAAAGTGCTGGGATTACAGGCATGAGCCACCGCGTCCGGCAAAACATTTAATGTTCATAAATTTTCTGTGAGGATCCATAATGTCTATGCATTAGGGAGTTAACTTCCAAAATGATTCCCTTATTGTCCTAATACCATATTAGGAAATTGATCCTTTCTAATTGATTTGAAATAGTAAAAATATAAAATATACTTCCCATTGAATGAGTACTCCGTGCTGGGACTGTTCTAAGTACTTTCACAGAATAATTTATTCTAGTCTCACAACAACCTAAGAAGGTAGATAAGTGTATTTTCAGTTCTGTTTTACAGATAATGAAACTTATGCACATAGTAGATAGCGACAATATATTATAATAAAGTGATGAAGGTAAGAGACCCTGGAGCCAGTCTGCTTATGTTTAAATTCCCATTCCAACACCTACTATCTGTGTGATCTTGGGCAAGGTAGTTAACCTCTCTGTGCATCAACTTCTTCATCTGTAAAATAGTTATAAAAGCCCTTTTATAGAGGACCATTATGAAATGAGTTAACAAATGTAAAGTGCATAGAATGATGCCTGACACAGGAAGTGCAATAGAACAGCTAGCCATTATTAGTGAATTTTCCTATGCAATTATTCGGGATCTCTAGTGCTCTACAAGTACCATTTTGATTTATGATATGATAATATATAACATAATTTATAATTTAATTCTTGGTTACACATCTTAATGTCATGTGATACAAGTTTCGCTCTGTTGTTTCACTCTTTTCAACTTTTTTTGTATGTTTACTTTTTGTTTTTCTAGGGATTTTGATAGGATTTGCATGGAATCCATACATTATTTCAGAGTCAATTAATGTCAAAATATTGAGTTTTTCCATCCAGGCATATATGTGCAAAATGTAGTAGTTTTCTTCAAATCATTACTTGTTTTTTATTGTTTCATCACTGGTGTGTTATTTACCATTTATTCATCATTAATTTTGGTTGTTTTGGGAGAGAAGGACATTTTCTAACAGTACCATTGATTTTAAAAAACAAAGGAAGAATACCCTGTGATTCAAATCCTAAATGACATAATTACCTTAATGATTTTACTTTGACTTAAATCATACAAATGGACATTTATGCATCAACCTTTTGATATAGAGTCAAGAGTCTTACACTGAGTTTGTATTACCTGAAGTCAAAAGCTTTCTTGTCTGGATCATGTATTAATTCCAGTTTTAGCTTTTTTAACATAAAGTGAAAATTAGACTCATATCAAATATGAATGTAAAATTATTCAAAATGTTATTACTTTCCCTCCTAGCCTATTATAATGGTCTGGCTCACACCTTATTCCACAGCAACTATTAGCAACTTGTAATTATCAAATATTTCTCAAGCATTTAATTATTAATTTTCATTAAATATATTCACAATAACACTTTATTTGATTTTGTAATATTTAATAAAATTACATAAGTACAAAAATAAATGCACATGATAGAACCAGGGTGTGCAAAATTCAACCAATTTATGTACATGCAAGTCAATTTTGGGGTGTAGGAATGTTTATATATTGTGGAGAGCAAGCTCAGATCTCCTATGTTCAGAGTGTCAGGTTTAGCATACAGTATGTTGTACAGAGAAAATGAGGAGTATTGACTCATCAGATACATCAGTTAAGTGAAGATTAGTTAAAAGACTATTATATTTCATTTGGAACTAAACACCATCAAGACTATTTTGTTGGTCATAACTTCTTCAATTTATTCTGTTGTGTTTTCAGTTAGACAATCAAATCTGCATCTTTTTAAATTTTATTGCATTGGTTAAGTTCTAAAATACAGTGCTAAACAAAAGTGATGCTAGCCTTTCTATGTCACTATATTTATATGTGATTGAATTTTTTTCATTTGTGAATATGAGACTGTCTCTAGTAGAATGTAAACCCCATTTGGATTTATTTGCATAAATATTTGCTTTTCTTAGTTTACTTTAACCTATTTTATCTTGTAAGCTTGCTCACATTTTTCTTTGTTTCTTTTGTTCTCTATACTATATTTACTTTTTAAAAATCTTCTGATCATTTGGAGTGGATATGCTGTTTTTTATTCTATTGATGATTATTATTCAGAAATATGTTTGAAATGTGTGTTTGGATATGTATGGCTGTGACTAATTTCTCTGGTCACATCTAAATAAAATATTTATTGAGTCTTTTTGCACATAGGTTTAGGAAATTAGCATATTTTCCTTTCTCCCATCCCTCCCTATCAGTTTTTCTATCATATAAATTGTGGTTTTAAATATAAATAATTATTTTAGTTTTTGCATTTTATATTATGCACATCTTAAAAAATTATTCTTAGCAATTCTTTTTTGCTTTTAACAATATTTTCACTATTTAATATTAAATACATATTTTATTATTTGCTTTTCCAAAGCATATTATTTTACATTACAATTTTCTCAACCTTAAAGTATATGTTCTGATTAATCTGATCATGCAGCAACTCATAATCTTTCTCGAGGGATTTTTAAAATTATATTTAGAATGAAATAATTCCTAAGCCCTTCCAAACCTGAGGAAGTCTTTCTGTTGCTTTTGAACATAAATCATTAAGGCTTTGGTGTAGAATTATTTCACCCCAATTTGTTTTTCTTAAAATTCTGTAGATATTTTGTATGGTCTCTTAAATGTTTGTATTAAGAATAAAGTTGTAATCTAACCTGAAAGTGCTTAATTCACAGGTATTTTTAACTTCCCAGATGCTTGCAAAGCTCTTTCTTATTCTTTTGATTATGTTAATGCATAATTCAATTGTGCTATTGCATTTTTAGTTTCCTCATTGTCTTTTCTTATCTCAGGAAGCTCCACTTTAATTTTAACCTAACTCTGGTCACTTCCTTTTCATTTGAATCTATGAGTCCAAAAGTTTAGCTTCCTGTTGGAAATTTAGATAAAATGTTCAAAAGAGAGGAAATATATGAAGAGTGCATATCAGAAAAGATTGTAACAAAGGGTGTTTTCCTACTTGTATGCGGAGTCAAAATAACTGAACGTAAAGTGAATAACTTATAGTACAGCCATAAAGCAATGGGAAGAACAAAAGATCGCTTCAGAACAAGAATAACCTTTGCAGACATAATGTTGAAGCCAGTTACAACAAAGTACATGCTTTATTATTTAATATATAAGTTGAAACATAGTTACATCAATCTGTAATGATTAAAGTCAAAAAGTGGTTACTTTTGTGAGGCAGAAAGACTGAGAAGAGACATGAAGGATGTTTGTGGGTCACTGGAATTGTTGTATTTCTTAATCTTTATAGTGGCTGTACTGGTATATTTATGATGTTAAAAATAAATAAACAAATCAAGCTTCACAGTTAGGATTTGTGAATTCCTCCACATGTATGTTATATTTCAATGAGTGTGGTTACTGAAAAAAGTAAACAACAAATTTATCTAATTTTAAAATATGTGCAACCATACAAATCTTTGCTGTAATTAGATACAAGCAAAACAATTAAGTCTTGTCAATTGGATTGAAAATATCTGGGCGGGGGAAGATATTTCACAAGGAACATCTACATGTGTCTACATGTCTTGCCCCCAGGAACTTCTGCAGATGACTGTCTATCCCATTCATGAAGATTTCCAAGGTAAAGTATGCCAAACCCTCTATCATGAATTCATTCCCATGCACCATGATTGGAAACTAGCTACTAAATAGATAATTCCAAATAAAATTGTCCACTCCTGCTTTTACTCAAGCAATAAAGCAACTCAGCCAAGAAGAGCTCAGTGCATCCTGTCCTTTTGCACAAGACTTGCTTGTGGGGAAACTTGTCTTCAACCAGTCTGACCGCACTGAGTTTGTGTTCCGTGTGTTCACTACAGCCACTGAATTCCAGGTTCTTCTCTTCCTTCTCTTCCTCCTCCTCTACTTGATGATCCTCTGTGGCAACACAGCCATCATCTGGGTGGTGTGCACACGCAGCACCCTCCGCACCCCGATGTATTTCTTCCTGTCCAACCTATCTTTCCTGGAAATCTGCTACACCACCGTGGTAGTACCCTTGATGCTTTCCAACATTTTTGGGGCCCAGAGGACCATTTCGTTGGCTGGATGTGGGGCCCAAATGTTCTTCTTTGTCACCCTCGGCAGCACGGACTGTTTTCTCTTGGCGATCATGGCCTATGACCGCTATGTGGCCATCTGCCACCCGCTGCACTACACCTTCCTCATGACCCGCAAGCTGTGCGCGCAGATGCTGGTCGGGGCCCTAGGTCTGGCCCTCTTCCTCTCCCTGCAACTCACCGCCTTAATCTTCACCCTGCCCTTCTGCGGCCACCGCCAGGAAATCAACCACTTCCTCTGCGATGTGCCTCCCGTCCTGCGCCTGGCCTGCGCTGACATCCACGTGCACCAGGCTGTCCTCTATGTAGTGAGCATCCTCGTGCTGACCATCCCCTTCCTGCTCATCTGCGTCTCCTACGTGTTCATCACCTGCGCCATCCTGCGCATACGTTCTGTCGAGGGCCGCCGCCGGGCCTTCTCCACCTGCTCCTCCCACCTCACCGTGGTCCTGCTGCAGTATGGCTGCTGCAGCCTCGTGTACCTGCGTCCTCGGTCCAGCACCTCAGAGGATGAGGACCGCCAAATCGCATTGGTCTACACCTTTGTCACCCCCTTACTCAACCCTTTGATTTACACCCTTAGGAACAAGGATGTCAAAGATGCTCTGAGGAATGCCATTATCCATAAAGCAGCCTCTGACGCCAACTGAAGGTTTAGGGGCACTGGGCTGGGTGTCTGTCTGTTGCTATGTCCATGAACTCTAAATGACACAGAATTGTAGTACTTTCCCACACTTTGCACTTGATGTTTCTTTTTTGCCATATTTGCCCCAAGTTCAACAATTCGTGCTTATTTTTCTGAGGGCTTTGACTAAGATATGAAAATTTGGGCAGAACTTACAGTGTAGGAATGTTAGTTTACTTAGCTCTACTTTAAGGATTTGCAGCTCACCCATGTCAAGTGCCGTATTAGGAACACCCCATACGTACTATGAATAAAGGCTGATAGACTTGCTGCCTCCTGAGGAGATGATGTAATTTACCCTGTGAAAGTTGCCTTAAGTAAGGAATATTCATAAAGACATATTTTGCTCAAATAAACACAACTTATTATTGTTTTGGGTATCAGTATATGACAAACAACAGCTTACTTAATGCATTAATTTCCTTTGCGCCATACATCCCAACTGGGTGCTTTCATTTTCTTCATGCCAGAAAGGCGCTAGGAATTTTCTTCCATTGATAATCACCTACTATGTACCAGCCTTGCTAGGGTATGGAGAATTACATCTGGTCTATGGCAGCCCTGCCCGCATGAGCCCTCTGTGCTGGTGGCTCTCACACTAGTCTTTGCTGTTCCACCTTCCTCACCACCTCCTACATCTTCATGAGGGCTGCTGCTCACAGATCCACTGAGCAGGTAGCACTACCATGGCACTATTCCTACCTCAGCATAGTTTTGCAGCAGAATGGCTGTTACCCAAATAAACCCTCAAGTAAAATCCACTTCCCTTTATGGTATTCACAGTGGACACCACACTGCTCAACCTTCTCATTTACACCCTGAGGAACAGCCAGGTCCAGAGGACTCCACGGATAGTTCTTATAAGCAATTACTTCTCCCATAACAGCTGGGGAAGGGTGCAATCTATCAGGTGAGAGTCTAGATCCAGATCATAAGCTGATTTTAATTAGCAGCTACAGGAAGAGAGTGAAAATATCTGCCAGTGGATATTAAACTGACCTAAGAAATTGTTATAACCTGGCGGGGCATGGTAGCTCATGCCTGTAATCCCAGCACTTTGGGAGGCCAAGGCAGGCAGATTACGAGGTCAGGAGTTCAAGACCATCCTGGCCAACATAGTGAAATCCTGTCTCTACTAAAAATACAAAAATTATCTGAGCATGGTGGCACCTGCCTATAATCCCAGCTAGTTGGGAGGCTGAGGCAGGAGAATCGCTTGAACCAGAGTCATAGGTTGCAGTAAGCCAAGATTGTGCCACAGCACTCCAGCCTGGTAACAGAGCAAGACTCCAACTCAAAAAATAAAATAAAATAAAAAAGAAAAGAAAAAAGAAATTGTTATAACCTTTTTGAATCCTATTATGGTTACGTTTACCAAAACCCATGGAAAGTTTCTATTCTTTAATTTCAGAATTCTTATTCTAAAAACATAACCTCAGAAAATTAACAGAATGTCAAACAAAACAAAATATAAGAGTGTTTCTTACATTTATAACATGAAAAGTGATTAAAATCTAATTTCCAACAATGCTGGATACAGAAACACAGCATACTAAAATCATTAATATTTAGTAATAAAGGGCAATGTTTATCATTATACCCGCAAGTAATAAAATCAAGATTCAAGCCTTATTTACAATAAGAGCCCAATTTTATAAAAATATATACATGCATAATGAGGAATAGAAACACACCAAAAAGTTAACAGTTGTTATCTGTGATGTAGAATTATGAATTTTCTAGTTTTCCTCTTTATTATTTTCCCTGATTTCCAAAATAAGACTGTGTTCCTGTTATAATCAGAAATATAATTTCTAGAAGGAATCTGAGGTTTATGTAGATTTATTTGGCTTAAAAACCTGCCATCATCGTAGTTCAGATCCACTTTTTATATTTTTTCTAGATTGGGACTATTTTGGTGTGGGGGGGTACATCTTTTTCCCATTGAAATTGCTTTTGGAACTCCTAATTTTTCACCTGATTTCACACGATGATAAGGAGAAGAACTATAAAGTGTTACGTACTCTGGGGACAGTCATTGGATTTAACAATACATTAGAAATGCCTTGCTTTTGATATGGTTTGGCTCTGTGTCCCCACCCAAATCTCATCTCGAATTGTAATCCCTATGTGTAGGGGACAGGGAACTGGTGGGAGGTGATTGGATCATGGAGGCAGTTTCCCCCATGCTGTTATCACAGTAATGAGGGAGTTCTCACCAGATCTGATGATTTTAAAAGTGGTGGTTTCCCCTGTGCACCCTCTCTTGCCTGCAGCAATGTAACACGTGCTTTGCTTTCCCTTCACCTTCCGCCATGATTGTAAGTTTCCTGGGGTCTCCTCAGCCACGTGGAACTGTGATTCAATTAAACCTCTTTTGTTTATAAATTACCCAGTCTCAGGTAGTATATTTATGGCTGCATAAGAATGGACTAATACAGCTTCTAAGTATTCCCTTATCCAAAGGGAATATTTCCAAGACCCCTGGAGGATGTCTGAAACCATAGATAGTATCAAATCCTATACATACTATGTTTTCTTCCTACACATACATACTTACAATAAAATTTAGCTTATACGTTAGCTGTAGTAAGAGATTAACAACAGCAACAATAAAATAGGACAATTATAACAACATACTATAATAAAAGTTATGTCAATGTGGTCTCTCTCAAAATATCTTAATGTATAGTACTCCTCCGTCTTCTTTTCATAATGATGTGAGATGATATAATGCCTATGTGATTAGATGAAATGAGGTAAATGACACAGGCATTATAACACAACATCTGGCTACTATTGACTTTCTGATGGCCAGAAAAAGGATCATCTGCTTGGGGTGATCTTGGATGATCAAGCTATGACGATGTCCACGGTTGGAGTTCAGAAGCATAAAATGTTATACAGTGTGGATACGCTGGGCAGAGAGATAATTCACATCCCAGACAGGACAGAATAAGATGACAAGAGATTTTGTCACACTACTCAGAATGTCAGACAATTTTAAACTTATGAATTATTTCTGAAATTTTCTATTTAATATTTTCAGACTGAAACTGAAACTGGAAAGCAAAACTGCAGATGGGGGGAAGTAGGGAAGACCACTGTAAATGCTGGAGAAGAAAATAAACTCTCTGGTTAGCAGATTGCATGTCAACCTATCCAGGTCAAGTCACATCAGAACATAATGAATCAATTATTTGTATAGATTGTGCTAGGCACTGTCTGAAATGCCAACCAAAGGGAAGTTTGAAACTGAATTTTCATACCTTCTTTCATTCTTTATTTAATGTCACAAGTCATTCATAAAATTAACCTGGAACTCAAAAGAAGAGGGTAAAATGTTACATTTGAAAAGAGGGTTGGTTAAACCTTTCAGAATGAATTATTGGGTTCTGCCAGTTACCTTCCTATACATATTCTAGATGAATAGAGTGAGTTTCCCTTTCTTATTTTTTCTTTTTTTATGTTTTAGTTGACAAGTAAAAATTGCATATATTTATGGCATACAACATAATGTTTTAATATATGTAGGCATTGTGAAATGGCTAAACAAAGCTATTTAACATATGAATTATTCCAGACACATTATTTTTGTGGTGAGAATACTTAAAATCTATTCTCAGCCATTTTCAAATACACAATAAGGTATAATTAACTGTAGACAGCATGATGTACAATAGATCTCTTGAACTTATTTCTGCTGTCTAACTAATATTTTATGTCATTTGGCCAACATCTCCCCAATCCTGTCACCCCAAGCCTCTGGTAACCATTTCTTCACTCTGTTTCTGTGAGTTCAACATTTTTACATTCCACATATAAGTGACATTCTGCAGTATTTGTCTTTCTGTGACTGTCTTATTTCAATTAATATGATATCCTCCAGATTCATCCATGTTGTCACAAATGACAAGATTTTTCCTTCTTTTTTAAGGCTAAGTAGTATTTCATTTTCCTCATCTATTCTACTGGTGAACACTTAGGTTAATCTTACGTCATAGCTATTGTGAAGAAATGCTTCAATGTACATGGAAGAGCTCCTTTTAATCACTGAAAAATTATTCCTTTATATGAGTCTTTCATTGAACTTGTTACATTCTGGAATGAGAATATTGAATGAAATAACAGTACATCACGAGTCAGATGATGGGACAGAAATGTTAATCATGATATGAGATGATCCCCTCATATCAAGGTAGCCTCTTGGTAGCATAAGTGGAAGACAGAACTCGCAAGAGTAGCTTAGCTTTCCTCCCCTGCAGGTTCACCACTTCTTTAAAAATTCTACTACTTTCATAACCCTGCTCATTCCCTTCATCCAGCCATTTGGGTATGTGAATGTGTCCTTAGTGTTAACTGTCTTACAGAGAAGTATTTTCCAAGAAAGTAACCTCTCCCTCTACTGATATTCTCTTTCTATGTCTCTCTCATTGGAATTTTATTAAAATAAATTTTATCATGCAGTGTAATTATTTGAAAATATGTCCCCCACTACTAAATAGTAAGCATCTTGAAGCCAGAATACACTACAAAAGCATCACAGGTATGTTGTGACACTAGGGTTCTTCATCTCTGTTCAGATTGTTTAACAGGTGAATGAAGGGTCAGACACATTGGTGGAAGTAAAGTGCTGATGTGAGATTCCTTCCCAGCATTTCTCAAAAATATATATATTTTTAAAATCCAAACTCTGAGAAAAAGTAGTTGAGAAATCAAGAAAAATCAGAAAAAAATTAAAATTGTCCTGCAAGAATTAAAGCATAATAGTCAACATAGAGACGTTACTGATTTGGAGGAATCCACTCATGCCAAGGGTAAAGCAAGAGCAGAAACTGATGACATGCAGAGCCAAAGGCTAAGTCTTCATTTCCAAAATCAGTACAAGAGCATTAGGGGAGAAGCAGTTACTGCCTAATCAGTCAGTCTTGCTTGTGGCTATTTTCACGTGTGTGTTCATGGCCCCGTCTGCTGCTAACAGTGAGTCATTTTT